TGCCGTACTTATACTGACAAAGTAGATTTTAGTACATTTTCATAGTTTAGCTACAGCCTGAATCAAGGTTTGCTTTGGGTGACTTTATTTTTGAGTATAGTTCACAAGGAGATGCTATATATTTTTTTTCAACTGCACTATGTTTCATACTGTGCGCTACTTAAACAGATTCACAATGATCAAGGGGTCCATATAACTTGAGATCAATAAACCACATTGACTGTCTTGCGCCTGTCTTATTCTTTTTTCCCCCATCTCTATCACTCATTTTTCCAAAGAACATTATTGTTTTTAATAAATGCGCTCTTATGCATACATATGCACTACTACATGATAACTACGCGTTAACATTTTTCTAAACTAATGTGCATAATGGGGCCTTCATTAATGCCAATGGCAAGAAAACACAACCTTTGGCACACTTCCTGATATGAGTTGTGTTTCGGCAGTGGGAGCTGTGGCTCTGTGGTTCGGGCCTCACTCCTCGGCCTGTGGGTGAGAAGGTTATTCACAGTGAGGGGTCCACAACCGGAGGAGCTTTGTGACATTTAATCATTGCATGTTGAATGATTAGCCATCTGTGGAAAACAACAGTAACAAGTGCCAAATGCAGGATCCCACACATCACCTGGCCGTGCTGCACACAATAGGCCACGGGGAATCAGCACTATCAGCTCTGTGGCTCAGTGTGTTCACTCAACCTGCACCGGCAGCTGCAAACTAAAATGAGCTCAGAGCCTGTGAAAATGGGATAACTTTGGGTTAATTTCTGGTTTTGACTCACTTTCATAATCTGCTGGTGGACTGCCGGTGTAGGGAAGAAAACATTTAAATATATTATTTTTGTATCTGTTTACCTTATCCTCCTTGTTGGAGGCGTGTTAAACATTTGTTGCTTGATATTCCTCTCAAATTCTGGAAGTTTTATTAAAGGTCCCATGTCATGGCCATTTTCTGATCATAATTCCATTGTTGAGGTATACTAGAATAGATTTTATATTGTGCAATATTCAAACTACACATTGGTTTCCTCATACAGCATCTTGTAAGTTGTGCTGTATTCACTCTCTTTTCCTAAAACGGCTTGTTGGAGCTCCTCCCCCCTCCTGTGAGCCCATTGCTGCTCTGATTGGTCAGCTCGCCCACTCTGTTCTGATAAGGATCCACCACCGTTACAGCGGAACATCAGTGATTATGGTTACCAATGGCGTTTGTTAGCAACCAGAGAATAACACCAGTAATGACAAACAGATGAGAATGCTGCGTAGGGCTGTGTGCCGTTGTTGGCGCACGTTGCGAGGCTCGCTGCTGCGAAGGAGCGACAGTGTGAGCTGGGGTTCCATTCCTGCTCTGCCGCGTAGGGTCTGGAGACACAGCGAAACCAGCCCGAAACCCAGCCCGGAGCCACACACACCCGCGCCTGGCTGTGAGTCTGGGGTGTTTTCTCAATCGCGAGTAAAGCTGCTGCAGAGCCATCTATTTCACGCTACGTCATCTACGTCATCAAGTGCCGCCGAAGTACTGTTCCAATGTCCAGCATACTTGGAAATCTACCGAGCCCGGCGTACTCCGTTTGGAGAAATTTCGAGGCTGCACATGTTTAGACTCCGCGGTCTTAAAATCCCCACAATGCTTTGCGCACGGACCAATTTCCCCAAATCTGTGGCGGAAAATGTAAGGCGGGGCCTCTCATATGACGCACACCTGCACACTTGTTAGCCTGTTCCACTCTTCGTTTTCCAAATGCCAGGAAGGATTCTTGCCTCGCTTCTGAAGCAAGATGCTCGGAAGACTTGTGCTACCAAGTAAGCGTACTCGAGATTGAGAAACACCCTGTGTGTGTGTGTGCTCACACAGACTCACAGCCTCGCCGCGTCCCGCCGTCTCAGGCTGAGAAATCTGCGGAGCTGCAGCTGAGAAAAGATTGAGTGTGTGGGTGTTTCTCAATCGCGAGTAAAGCTGCTGCAGAGCCACTATTTCAAGCATACTACGTCATCGAGTGCCGCCGAAGTACTGTTCCAATGTCCAGCATACTTGGAATTCTACCGAGCCTGGCGTACTTCGTTTGGAGAAATTTCGAGGCTGCACATGAGTAGACTGACTCCGCGGTCTTAAAATCCCCACAATGCTTTGTGCACGGACCAATTTCCCCAAATCTGTGGCGGAAAATGTAAGGCGGGGCCTCTCATATGACGCACACTTGCTAGCCTGTTCCACTCTTTGTTTTCCGAATGCCAGGAAGTATTCTTGCCTCGCTTCTGAAGCAAGATGCTCGGAAGACATGTGCTACCAAGCAAGCGTACTCGAGATTGAGAAACACCCTGTGTGTGTGAGGAACTAATGTAACGGCTCCGCGAACGTAACGGCTCCGCGGATTATCTTATCTATTATTATTTTAGCAATCTCTTATTTGGTGGAGGAAAACAATTGTGACATCAGTTACGACATGACTTACGTGACTCTGGGATTTTCAGTCTTTCTAGTTGCGTATTTTTCATAGCCTTATATTTGCACAGTTTTACGAAAAACTGTGACTTTTTTGACATGGAAATTATTTTTTAAGATTGACAAACATCATATGTGTAATTCGTGGCACAATTCAAACGGGATCGAAAGATAAGTTTTCTCTCTCCATTGACTTCAATACATAATTTTTCCAAAATAAGGTCCCATGGACCGGAAGTAGACGGGCGTGACTTCGCCACTCTATTAGACTATTGAGAAACCTCTAATGGCGGCTTCACAAAACTTTTCAGAGTTTTACGGGGCCTGGTTTGCAATTCGCCCAGCCAATCGAAATTGGTACTTTTTTCTCCCCAGGATAGTACCAGGCACTAAAAATGGGGGTAAAAGTTCTCGGAACTATACTCTTTTTGGTATGAACGCAAAATTCCAGGCACTAACCGAACTAAACGTGAAAAGTACTCCGGTGTGAACGCGCCTATTGTCTCTGTGTTAACTGATTATTTTGTAGAATTCTGTTGAGTATTAAACAACTGCATGAGTGTGAGGGTATTCAAATAAATGTGTCAGTAAGTCAGAGATGGGCTATAGGCTATATTTAAGTTTTTGTTTTACATTTTTTTTATAAATGATTATGTGAAGTGCACACACACACACACACACACACACACACACACACACACACACACACACACACACACACACACACACACACACACACACACACACACACACAGTGTGCTCCTCCTAATAAACACATTTGAAAAGTGGGGGGGACACAAACGGGACCCCTGGGGACCCCTGTCCCCAGTGGAAATTACGCCCATGATGTTAGTAACACTGATATGTTGCTGTTACTGTATCTGATTACTACACTGGACCGATGTGTGGTTGTGTGACTCGAAGAGTAAATCTTTAATGACTTTATTAGCCTGTATTCAAGGTTTTAGTGTATGAGCATGATACTATACTCAAAGTACGAAAAGTTAAAATACTCATTACTCACTATGCAAAATGGATAATCTGAATATTATATATATATTGTCTGTAAATAAACTAAAGATGTTTTGATGTGGAGTAAAAAGCATGATATTTACCTCCAAAATGTTGTTGAGTAAGTAACCTGGTAAAAAACCATAAGGTGGGGAAACCCAGAGAAAAAATGCTTATTGTAACAAATGGCAATATTGGTGGAAAAGGGTGCATTTTCAAATCAACCCAGTTGACTTTGTATATTAAGAACTTGCAACAGTGTTTTTTTTCATTAGTCTTTAAATGTTAAACAAATGAAAAACTGATCTTTGGTAATTTAAATGAAACTATGAAATACCAGGTACATGCTGATTCCAGACACCTACAATTGGGATGTGCGTGTTTATGTGTGTGGGGTTGAGAAAATAAAGACAAGACGCCGTTCCATCCACATGACCAAGACTTTACTTCACAGCTCAGTGCCCATCAACCCCGTACAACACAACATGGGCTCCAACACCCAGCAAACCTTTGCACTGTCAGCAGAATCCAAGCAGGTATAATTTCCTCTCATGGTTAACCCTGTTTTTCTCATGCG